AGTTTTGTGAAGCAAATTATATTTTATTTTTCTTTCTATTCTGTTAATCATCTGCTGATATTTATCTTGTGACCTGCAGACTCTCTGATACAAAATCAACATTAACGACGACTCAATGAATCTGAATATTTCTCTCTAACTGGTCCTGTTCATTAATGGGAACTTATACTGGGAACAAAGTCAGACATCGAACCTCCAGTCAGCGCCATGCAGAGGAAGATGAGAATGGCAAAATCATATAAACAAAGTATTAATCCTCAACAATCATCATCATCCTGACATGTTCTTTATCTGATGATTTACATTAGCTGAGCACTTTTCTTTCAAACTAGAAAAACTCTGCACTGAAAAAGCTCAATTGTGTCTTTGCTGACGTATTTCTGCTGTTTGGCTCCTCGCTGAAGAGGAACTGTGAGGAACTTTTTAAGCGTTGTTGCAACAAACGACCAGAAAACTGGTCTAATAACTATTCAGTTGAGAGACTAAAACATGATTCATTACGACAGCAGACTCAGAGCAGCGTGTAGAAAAAATTAAAAACTAGGAACACGTACCGGATTAAAGAAATTTAGTTTTCAGAAACAAGTTTAAAGGAGAAATCTGAGTTTAGAGTGAGGAACACTGGATGTTTAACACCCCTCACATTATAAATGATGAAGACGTCCTGTTATCTCCTCTCAGTTCATCCAATTCAATCCAGCTGATAGGAAATACATCGTTCTTCAAGACTTAATCTGTGTTTAGCCTCAGATTGACCAACATTTTACGACTAGAAGAGGCAGTTATGTGCTGGAACAAACTAATAATGTGCATTTTCTACCTTTCGTGTGTTTTTCAAGAGCAGGGAATGATCCAGTTCTGGACTGCACACCCGGACTTTCACAGTCCAGAGCGGGACAACTGAAAAGTCCAGCATTAATGACAGAAAACAGACGAGTACCTGCGTTGAACAGTCAGCAGTTAAAATGTTGTACCACACGATTAAGTAAAAAAAAAAAAACTTAAAGAGATCTGAGGGGCTTCGTCACTGTGGGTTGAGAAATAAACAGAAAGAAACGTCCAGATCAGCTGACACCAAAGAAAACTCAACTCTTGACTGACCCTTCGTAAGTCCCGCCCCTTTCTGCCCTGTGCTCCAATAACAATCAACCAATCAACCAATCCTGGAGTACAGAGCAAAAAGGGGCGGGACTTAGAAAGTAATCTCTTAAACTGTTAAAACCAGAAAAACAGTTCTCGAAGGCTCCAGATTATCTCAAGAAGGCAGAATAAAAGGAGCATGGATCGTAAATCAAACAAACAATAAATGTTAATCGAAGAACAGCTCTTTGTTCTTCTTCAGCAGTTTGACATCCAAAGCGAGGATCATCACAAGTCCTCGCACAGTTTTTGGTCTCGTGAGCAGATCTTCAGCCGCCGCGAGCTTCATGTCTTATTATTATTACTGACGTTTCACAGAACTGCTGCCGAGAGCTCGAGAGATCAGACGTCCAGTTGTTGCTGTGAGGAGCTCGGCAGTTCCTTCTCAGAAGTTCTGCTGCCGTCGCTTTTTGGCCTCGATGGCGTCCAGGATGGGCTGCCTCTTGGCCTGGTAGCGCTGACGGATCTCCTCGATCTCCTGCTCCATCTGAGGGTCCAGAGAGGCGAGACGCAGACGCAGCTCCTCCACCGACCACGTACTCACCTACACAGACATTGGGTTTATTAATATGAGACACACAGACGCAGCACAGGATGGCTGCGATTATACCGCTAATCAATTACCTGATTAACTGAATATTAATAGGAAACACTCCTTGTTTCCGGCTTCTCAGATGTGAGGATTTTTAGCTTTTCCTCGTCATTTTACAGGTGATCAGACAACACGAAACTTTATGAGACGTCAACAGGTGATTGTTTTACTGTTTTCAGACATTTATAGACTGAACTGACTTTGACTACATGAGATCCCTCTGGTCCATAATCTTTCATTATCAGAGGTTACACAGACAATACAGTCAACCAACTGTGAACATACTGACGTTCTCCTAAACTTCTGCTGCTGTTTCAAAGGTCAACAAGTCCTTAAAGTGCTCAGACAAAGATTTTATGACAACTAGGTAATTGCTCTCTGAGGATGAAGACCATGTGATATGAGCTTATCAAAGCTACAAAATTTAAACATTTAAAATAAATAAATGTGAATCAAAATTCATTTCAATGTAATCTTTCATCAAGACGTCAAGAGGGAGCCACTGGAGAGGGTCCAAAGAGCCGCAGGTCACGTACCTCTGGGACTTAATCGATCAGTTGATCAATTGTTGCAGTGTTACTGTCATTATCTTGTTTAATAACTCAAACTTGGAGCTTCAACAAACCCAGCTGTTGTCCAGGTGAACAGTGAGTTGAATCTGTACTCTGCAGTCACTTTATTTATTCTGCTCTCTGGGTTAATAACATTTATAAATTCACAGCCTCACAGATCTCGTAATGGTCACTACTGTTGAGTCTAAATCACCAATAAATGAGAGGCTTGAAGCTCAGAACTGGATCTGAAGCCAGTTGCTTCCGTACTGAAGACTTCTCCTCGCCGTTACGATCCTGTGCAGCTGGAGGATCTGATGACCTGAAGATCCACCGGCCCCGAGTCCATTAATGAACACTTAGGAAAACCTTTACTACAATCTAAACATATCTCAGGGATCACAGCGATCATCAAGGTGTCTGATAAGTGAATCTATTTTAGTAGCTTTCAGAGGCTTCATCTATTGACATTTATTCTATCTGTCCCTCTCTGTTGTAGGCCTCCGATCGGGACCTGATGCCTGCTTCAGCTCTTTCCCTCGGGGATTCCCCCTCTCGGCTTTTACCAGCAGCACTCCGCTCTCCAGCTATTTATTACCCACAATCAATGGAGCTAAAAAAACACTGGCGTCCTAGTCCACCAGACGGATAACCGTGAAGAGAAGGGAAGGTCCTACAACTGGACCACACCAGGGTCAAAGTATAACAGACACTGAATATTCACTTGCTGAAACCAACAAATGGAGCAAGAAAAAATGACTTAAATGATTCATCGGTTATCAAAAGATTTGCCTACTGTTATAAAGTTAATAGTTTCATTAATCATTCTCTCGCAGTGTCTTCAGGTTTTGGACTGACATTTATATTATATTTTTATATTATGATTAATAATAATAGAGGAAATAATTGACAGTTTCCTCTCTAATGAAGATATTTGTTAGTTGCAGTCCTAAACATGTTCTCCTCGGTGTCCACTGAACTGTTGTAGCTGCTGTGAGTCCAAGATGGTGACAAACATTTAACACCTGCAGGGTGAGTGAGGGTTTTTGTGGCTTATTCCTTTAAACAAACGTAACACATAATGTCCAATTACTTGCTGCTCTCACTGGTTGAGTTTGTTGGGGCTCACATTTATCATTTATCTGCTCAGCTGAAGACATTTTCACTGAAACCCAGTTTGACTTTATGGACAGTTACAGTTACGGATCTCTCTGTATGGATCATATTGGGGAACTAAAACAATATAATAAGTTTAATTTACGCCACTATAGAACATTCTTTGCAGTAGACTGCAGTAGCTGTAAGGTTTTGTTTACCAAGTAAACAAACACATAAAATCATTAAACATTTACAGTGTGAGCTAACAGAAATATTCTCACTCTCACTTAGTGTGTGCCAGTGAAAGGTAGAAGTAAGAACTGAGCTTCAGGTCAAGTTTTCCTTCACAGATCTTTTACGTTATTTAGTGGACAGAAAGAAGAAAATGGAGGTGATGATATAAAACACTAAAGAAGATTAGAAGAGGATATAAGAAATGGAAAGTGGCCGCTACGAACCCCCAGACAAACGTCACCTGAAAGGTTGTCTCTATCCATCCAACCTCGACCATTTCAGCTAATGGTAAAGCTCTAAACCCACTGTTCACTATCTGCTCAGCATCAAACAGACACACTGACACTAGTTAATGAACATACTGGAGCATTTAGCAACTAATAGACACATTTTTCTCAGGAAATAGTGGGGACCAAAAAGAGAGATTAAAATTGGATTTATATTCCCCAAATGGAGACAAACACGAGTTAAAATGTAGGATAACGTTGCCCTCAGTCTGCCGGATGTTAAACTGCGAACACGTTTTGCCATAAAGAGATAAAATGTGATAATATGTCACTGTTGTGTTCACAGAGTCCTTAACCCAGCAGCCCCGGTTCAAGTCCATCCCACGGCCCTTTCAAAATAAAGGCAATGAAAAGCCCAAAAACAAAACAAAAAGGTGATTCGTAAGGTTGTAATTTCCTGTATTTTTAAATCTCATTCCCGGTTGTCTGGCTGAAAGCAACACTTAGAATAAGATGTCAGAGCTCCGAACTCCCCACTCAGATTTAAAATGTCAACAAACCTTCCTTCATATTAATGTTAAAACATCTGTCTCATGCATGATTTATTTAAACACATCAGATCACACATGGTCTCGTGTTTATAGGGTTAGACTCTCTACTGGGTGTTATGGATGGACTAAAACCAAACACACAGTTTACATTTCTCCTGAAGGCGGTTAACGATTAAACTTTGACAGGACATGTAACTGATGATGGACTGATGATGGACTGATGGATGCTCTGGATTTAACCTTCTGTCAGGATCAGTTAGATAAGACTACGATCTCATTGAGGTTCGTTCTGAGGACACGTCTGAGGGGAGAGGATGGGTGGAGAAAAAAAGGAGTCAGGAGTGGATGGGAGGATAGAGGAACAAGAAAACCAATGAGGGAAGAATAAAAATAGAGAAAGAGGGAGAGGACAGAATGCAGCAATTGAGGGAGATTGGTTATTCTACGTCTGCTCCTCATCAATAATGTAGGTTAGTGCTTTCTAACCACATGTCCTATGCTGCACTGAAGCATAAACCACAGATAAAATGTAAATTTTAGACAAGGCAGCTAAATATAAGGTTAAAATACTATATAACACACTAACATGTCTTAATATGAGGGTGAATTTCTACTTAAACTCAATGTATAAACCACAAACTGACAGAGGAGTTTTCCAGCAGCCAACATGATGATGTTCTGAATAACTACATTAAAGTAACATCTCAAAATACAAAAATAGCATGGCAGTCTGATCTAAAATTAAACACCGTCAGCGTGAAGCTGTCAACAAGCTGCCTCAAAGTATTAAAGATCCCAGAAGAAATCAGCTTTTTATCTTCACATTTGCAATTCTAGTGGAACAATAAACCCCCCCCCCCGGTGGGATCTGTGTCGTCCAGCGAAGCTTATTTGATTTAAATGAACTGCTTCTCCCAACGATGCAGTGAAGCACACAGATACTTTCTGTTTTGCTTCCACGGTTAAATGCTATAAGACTCTGCTGCCTTTGCATGAATGTTACAAGTTACTGTGATTAGTGTCAGAATGAGCACCAGTAACTTCAGAAAGCCTAAAGTTTTTAAACCAAAAATATTTTTTAAAGTGCATAACCAAATTATAAACTAGAAAATCACTCTGAGAACGCAACCATCAGTCCAGTCTTCTATGATATTCACACCACTCACTTTAATTACAACTTTTTACAAGTTTGTGCCGTTTAATCTGGAAAAATCACATCTCTGATTGCTTATTTCTGCTGCACTTGTTTCTACAGTGATGTTTGAGGTGGCTGCTACGCTTTGTGGTACTTTAATTACGACGGGTTCGCACATTTAGATCATTTGCTGTGGGAAAGTGAAAGATGACTCGGAGATAACTGACTGTATAGCGTTGTATTTATCACTGTGTTGGCCAGAACAGGACTTAATGCTGGGATGTTACCGCCTGTGCTACTGCACTTTCTGCAGTGAATGGATGTTTTTTTTTCTGTCTTTGATGCACAACTTTAAGGAGAACAACACGTTATCAATAGGTGGTAATCCGTCGGGCTGCCAACCATCGAGCACACAACGTAAGGAGCACATTGCAGGAAGTTTCACGGTGATAATGTCACCACCGCGCTCGACCCGACTGCTACCTCACTGCGTTAAGTAAAGAACACAAAGGTGCAAAACAAACTGAAATAACAATATCTGATTTCTCAATAATGAATATTAAAGTCAAAGTAGTTTTAAAGTCTTCCTTGGCTAATGCTACACCAAAAAGTGAGTAAAATGAGGTGATACTTTCTCTGAAGCTGAGGCCTGAAAGTTGTTTTTAACAAGACATCTTATCCATAAAGTCTAACGAGAACGTACTTTTTTTTTCCTTCAATATTTTATAT